TTAATGGTTGTGAAAGATGTCAAACCTTTCTCCCCTCCCTAAAGTTAAACAGCTGAAAGCACCGTGAACACAGCGGAGAAAAAGGTGTGCACTGAGGATTTTGAACTATGGCGTTAAAGCGTTGTCACTGCTGAGGATTTGTGGACACAGGAGGAGTGTGGACACAGATCCTTGTTGACTTACAGTGGGGCAAAAAAGTATTTAGTCAGCCACCGATTGTGCAAGTTCCCCCACTTAAAATGATGACAGAGGTCAGTAATTTGCACCAGAGGTACACTTCAACTGTGAGAGACAGAATGTGAAAAAAAAATCCATGAATTCACATGGTAGGATTTGTAAAGAATTTATTCGTAAATTAGGGTGGAAAATAAGTATTTGGTCACCTCAAACAAGGAAATCTCTGGCTCTCACAGACCTGTAACGTCTTCTGTAAGAAGCTTTTCTGTCCCCCACTCGTTACCTGTATGAATGGCACGTGTTTGAACTCATCATCTGTATAAAAGACACCTGTCCACAGCCTCAAACAGTCAGACTCCAAACTCCGCCATGGCCAAGACCAAAGAGCTTTCGAAGGACACCAGGAAAAGTATTGTAGACCTGCACCAGACTGGGAAGAGTGAATCTACAATAGGCAAGCAGCTTGGTGTGAAAAAATCAACTGTGGGAGCAATCATCAGAAAATGGAAGACATACAAGACCACTGATAATCTCCCACGATCTGGGGCTCCACGCAAGATCTCATCCCGTGGGGTCAAAATGATCATGAGAACGGTGAGCAAAGATCCCAGAACCACACGGGGGGACCTGGTGAATGACCTGCAGAGAGCTGGGACCAAAGTAACAAAGGTCACCATCAGTAACACACTACAACGGCAGGGAATCAAATCCCGCAGTGCCAGACGTGTTCCGCTGCTGAAGCCAGTGCATGTCCAGGCCCGTCTGAAGTTTGCCAGAGAGCACATGGATGATACAGCAGAGGATTGGGAGAATGTCATGTGGTCAGATGAAACCAAAGTAGAACTTTTTGGTATAAACTCAACTCGTCGTGTTTGGAGGAAGAAGAATACTGAGTTGCATCCCAAGAACACCATACCTACTGTGAAGCATGGGGGTGGAAACATCATGCTATGGGGCTGTTTTTCTGCCAAGGGGACAGGACGACTGATCCGTGTTAAGGACAGAATGAATGGGGCCATGTATCGTGAGATTTTGAGCCAAAACCTCCTTCCATCAGTGAGAACTTTGAAGATGAAACGAGGCTGGGTCTTCCAACATGACAATGATCCAAAACACACCGCCCGGGCAACAAAGGAGTGGCTCCGTAAGAAGCATTTGAAAGTCCTGGAGTGGCCTAGCCAGTCTCCAGACCTCAACCCCATAGAAAATCTGTGGCGGGAGTTGAAAGTCCGTGTTGCTCGGCGACAGCCCCAAAACATCACTGCTCTCGAGAAGATCTGCATGGAGGAATGGGCCAAAATACCAGCTACTGTGTGTGCAAACCTGGTAAAGACCTATAGTAAACGTTTGACCTCTGTTATTGCCAACAAAGGTTACAGTGGGGCAAAAAAGTATTTAGTCAGCCACCAATTGTGCAAGTTCCCCCACTTAAAATGATGACAGAGGTCAGTAATTTGCACCAGAGGTACACTTCAACTGTGAGAGACAGAATGTGAAAAAAAAATCCATGAATTCACATGGTAGGATTTGTAAAGAATTTATTCGTAAATCAGGGTGGAAAATAAGTATTTGGTCACCTCAAACAAGGAAAATCTCTGGCTCTCACAGACCTGTAACGTCTTCTGTAAGAAGCTTTTCTGTCCCCCACTCGTTACCTGTATGAATGGCACGTGTTTGAACTCATCATCTGTATAAAAGACACCTGTCCACAGCCTCAAACAGTCAGACTCCAAACTCCGCCATGGCCAAGACCAAAGAGCTTTCGAAGGACACCAGGAAAAGTATTGTAGACCTGCACCAGACTGGGAAGAGTGAATCTACAATAGGCAAGCAGCTTGGTGTGAAAAAATCAACTGTGGGAGCAATCATCAGAAAATGGAAGACATACAAGACCACTGATAATCTCCCACGATCTGGGGCTCCACGCAAGATCTCATCCCGTGGGGTCAAAATGATCATGAGAACGGTGAGCAAAGATCCCAGAACCACACGGGGGGACCTGGTGAATGACCTGCAGAGAGCTGGGACCAAAGTAACAAAGGTCACCATCAGTAACACACTACAACGGCAGGGAATCAAATCCCGCAGTGCCAGACGTATTCCGCTGCTGAAGCCAGTGCATGTCCAGGCCCGTCTGAAGTTTGCCAGAGAGCACATGGATGATACAGCAGAGGATTGGGAGAATGTCATGTGGTCAGATGAAACCAAAGTAGAACTTTTTGGTATAAACTCAACTCGTCGTGTTTGGAGGAAGAAGAATACTGAGTTGCATCCCAAGAACACCATACCTACTGTGAAGCATGGGGGTGGAAACATCATGCTATGGGGCTGTTTTTCTGCCAAGGGGACAGGACGACTGATCCGTGTTAAGGACAGAATGAATGGGGCCATGTATCGTGAGATTTTGAGCCAAAACCTCCTTCCATCAGTGAGAACTTTGAAGATGAAACGAGGCTGGGTCTTCCAACATGACAATGATCCAAAACACACCGCCCGGGCAACAAAGGAGTGGCTCCGTAAGAAGCATTTGAAAGTCCTGGAGTGGCCTAGCCAGTCTCCAGACCTCAACCCCATAGAAAATCTGTGGTGGGAGTTGAAAGTCCGTGTTGCTCGGCGACAGCCCCAAAACATCACTGCTCTCGAGAAGATCTGCATGGAGGAATGGGCCAAAATACCAGCTACTGTGTGTGCAAACCTGGTAAAGACCTATAGTAAACGTTTGACCTCTGTTATTGCCAACAAAGGTTATGTTACAAAGTATTGAGTTGTATTTTTGTTATTGACCAAATACTTATTTTCCACCCTGATTTACGAATAAATTCTTTACAAATCCTACCATGTGGATTCATGGATTTTTTTTTTTTCACATTCTGTCTCTCACAGTTGAAGTGTACCTCTGGTGCAAATTACTGACCTCTGTCATCATTTTAGGTGGGGGAACTTGCACAATCGGTGGCTGACTAAATACTTTTTTGCCCCACTGTAGCTGCTGTTTACATTTCAAAAGTCTTTATCAGGACAAGCACTTCTAATTGTACTTCATTGTCCTCTCTTGTCTGTAAAGCAAGCGCTGACAAAACAAGTCCAGTAAATGCACTTTTATCTTTAAGTTTGGTATTGTAATCCGTCTTAATCTATTTATGTTTTATTCTGTTTCTTTATCATATGGGGGAAAAGTCCTGTCAGCCTTGTGCTGGGGGGGCTCTGGTCATCCATGTGTTTTGTTTTAATAGCTCTGTTCAGTTTTATTGATATAGCACCACTTACCATCAACTAATCTAGCCTCAAACCACTTCATATTGTAAGGTTAAGACTCTACAGTTTTAATTTAGGACAAATGTTCACTCGGATTGATCGGTGAAATGAATGCAGATGAATGAATTGGTAATTAAAGCTAAGTTTTTGGCCATAACTGATTACATACAGCATATACACTGTATTATGGATGGACAGATATATATGTTTGGCAATCATAAACCATCAACGAAAATGCATCTTGAAAGAAAGTCAACGTTATCAAAATAACAACAAACAGGACAGGAAAGACAGGTAAATGGCAGGCCACAAACACCAGTGCCATCTTGACTCATATTCAAAAAATACTTGAGAATTCTTTTAAGAATATTTAACTTTAAATTGGGTAATTTTTACTCACACTAAACAAAAGTTAACTTGGCTATTGCATCCCATGTTTTGGTCCTTTCCTGATTACTTATCTGTTGTTACAGACCAAAGTACAAAACAAATATGTACGAGGTTATCTGGACTTCACTAAAACACTCAGTCTGTCACGGCCTGAGGCCAGTAGGAAAACGGACTCTAAAGCAGACAACACTCGGAGGTGCTGGGACTGAGGGTGACAAAGCTTTATTTACAGTGGTGCAATTAATGTAAACAGCGAACGACGGTGAGAGGTGCTCAAAGTGCTCACCATAACTTAGAATTGCTCAACGTAAACAAGGAATAACTTAAAAACACTCATGAGAAACTGAGTGCTAGCGGCAACCTAAATAAACTTAACACACGCTAGAAACTCTACTCTGGAGCATGAATTTAGATATAACTTTAGCTTAGAGGCACACTATGATTCATAATACTCCGCTTGGAGTCACACAGTTCTAACTCAGAAATTCACAATCCTTTACTTTGAAACACACATGGCCGACTTGGCATTTCTATGAAACAAAACTAGAAGGAGCACTGGAAGTGTCCGTGGTGAAGCCACGGGGCTGTTGTGGATTGAATGGAGAACCCGACACTGGGAAATCTGGGTGAGGGGAGATGATTATTCTGAGCGCTGGGCAGGGAGGCAGGCAGGCACGGAGAAACTGTAAACAGACCAGCGCTGAAATCCTAACAGGTGACGGCAGCGGCTTGACAACGTCCAGAGGTCCTCTGAGAGTGGAGAAACTGTGAAAGCCCTGACTGACAAAGGTTTGCCTACGATCTGGCGAGGTGTGAGTCTGAGTGCTGGTCTTAAGAAGCCGGCAATTCCAATTATGCTCAGGTGCAGCCTGTCAGCATGCTGTGGCGGCTCTGCCTAGGGGTGGAAATGCCGGCCCTGTGGGAAGGCCCAGCACTCACCCGGACCATAAAATAGTCAGATGTCTATTCATATTAATGTACAGAATTCACCTGCTTGCTGCTACTACTGCACATTCACCCAGTGTATATACTATATGTAGATATATATAATGTTCTTCCTCTACACCCCCCCCAATTTTTGCACATGTCGAGGAGCGTGTCAGGCTACATTTCACTGTGTGTTATACTTGTATAACTATGCATGTGACAAATAAAGAACCTTGAACCTTGAACCTTGACCATGACACAGTCATCCTGTCTGTCATTTGGAATAACCAACAGAAGTCACTGAGCTTAAGCCATGGATATACTATATGTTTTTCTCCAGGGGATTTATTCAATTGTTTTGTGTCTGACAGTCCTTCTATTGATCCACTGCCTTTTCTCTAACATAACCCAAAAGGATGGAAAGGAGCCTCCAGGACCCACACCATATCCCATTTTTGGGAACTTCCCGCAGCTGTACCTGAAGAAAACACATGTCACGTTACTGGAGGTGAGGAAGTCATTGGAGGAATTTTCTTTCAATGTATCTGATCATTTTAATGTATTTTAAACAAAGATATATGAACATTTTTTGTTGTTTTTAGCTATCCAAACAATTTGGATCTATTTTCACCATCTATCTGGGGACCAAAAAAGTGGTGGTCCTGGTAGGATACAACGCAGTAAAGGAGGCACTTGTTGACTATGCTGAAGTGTTTGGAGAAAGGGATCTGACACCAATTATTGATGAGCATTTTCAAGGACATGGTGCGTAATTAAGACAAGACTTTTGCAAACACATTTGAGTGTGAGTCATAATTAGCAACTATGTATAACCTTTATCTATATTACTGAAAGTTGTTTCTGTCAAATCAGGTATTGTGTGGGCTAATGATGACACATGGAAAGAGATGAGGCGCTTTTCAATGATCAACCTGAAGGACTTTGGAATGGGAAAGAAAGAATTTGAGGACAAAATCATTGAGGAGTGTCATTACCTTATGGAAGCTTTTAAACAGTTCAAAGGTAAACAGTGAACTGACAGAAACTGCAACTTTTTGATACAAATGAACTTTTTGTAATTTTCTTTGCAGGAGAATTTGATGTCAAGCAATCATTAAACAATGCAACTGCCAATATTTCCTGCTCCTTGATCTATGGCAACAGATTTGATTACAATGACCTGGAGTTTACATCTTTGGTACATCGTACATGTAGAAACACCACACTTTTGAGTGCCCCATCTGTCCAGGTATATTTTAAAGTTTTTAAAGATTTTGTTTGTAAATTCTAACTGACTTTTATAACTAAGGGGCAGTGCTTTGCTTATGTCTGTGTAGTGATATGCTTTCAAATATTTGCTACTGTTCATTTAACTTTGCTTTCTTTTTAATGATCACTTCCTCCAGGGGCTTTACCTTTTCCAAGTGCAACCACTGACTCATTTTAAATAGTTTAGGACAGCCAAACTACGGACCAGTTGCTAGGTTCGGCAGGGCTACAATAGAAAGCGAGGCAAATATGGAATGAAATGGCTGGAGACAGGAATCTGAGCAGCAACGGTTATTATTTTACACAAAATGAAATAAACAAGACACAAATTCCACATTGACAGTAGTAATGGTAATAATAACAATAATAAGAATAAGCCGGCAAAACAAGAAAAAAAAAAAATAGTCCCTTTGAGCTCAATGTTCAATTGTCTTTTTGTCTTCGGTCATTCGTCATGTCAAAAATTCTTAGTCTAGTTCTTTTTCTCTTTTGTTTGTGGTTTGTGTGTTACCACTTGGGAGTCTCCGTCGAGGAAGAAGAGTAAATTCCTCTGTAAAGTTCAGTCCGGGCTCAGGCTCGCCATCTCCCTCCGGAGAGAATCCATTGTGATCCAAAATCTTAGTTTCTTCCACACGAACAAGAAAAAAACCTAGCCTGCACAACAATATTAACATTATTGCACACAGCCAGCTCCGTTTCTACTCTTGTATCACAGCTATAGCTTTAGTTCTTTATCTCTTTTCACATCTCTTTCACATTACCACAGTAATACATTACAAGCATGCTTTGAATATATCTCTCATTGTGCATGAAATTATTTTAACCACACGTAAAACAACAAATGAATTTCTCGTTCTGTTTTCAACCATGAATTTGTGATTAATAGATATAAACAACAAGATAATAGATTTTTTCAATCATCCTTCAAGTATGCTAAACAAATTCTACCACAAACAGCAAATTACCACTCGCAAATCGGTATGAACAGAAGAAACAACTTTTAGCAACAGACTAACACATTATTATTTTCTATTTATTTATTTATTTTTTGTCCCGTTTGGATCTTTAGCCATCAGAATTGTTGTCGTAAGACCAAGAAAGATGCCAAGCGGATTTATTTTACCAAGTGGATCATCATGGCCTTGCCATATTGGTCCATTTGATTGACCTTTATTATAATTATGTATTTATTTGATTTGATTTTCGGTTGCTACAAACGGGATAGACATGACTGGGGGATAGGACAGGGAGAAAGAATGAAAGAAAGAGAGGGAGAGAAAGAAAAACAGAGGGGAGAAGACACGGTGAGAAAGGGGGGAAGAAAGAAAGAAAAACAAACAAAACACCTGGATCACCTGTATGGAGAAAAAAAACAGAAGAGAAAACAAACAAAAAATTAGCAACATAATAAATACAACACCATCACAATAAACTAGCTAGCAGTAGATAACAGTAGATACTAAATATTAAACGCTATTGTGCAGCACACAAGATAGACAGCGCACAATGTGCTTTGAGGCAGCAGCCAAGAAAGGTGTAGTCCGCGTCTGTGAATACCCGTGTGTACACCTGTGTGCATACCTGTGTGGATCAGCATGCTTGCATTCCAAAGGTTTCTCCATGTAATGATCTGCTAGGGAGTGTGGGGAGCCATAGCCCCGTCCCCCAGGGCATGAAGCAGGTATGGAGGAGATCCAGGCCCCAGACATCCAGAGGCCCCAGAGTATGAGGACCCGAAGAGGACCACCAAAGGGGGGGAACACAATAGTGCCCTGCAGACTGTTCACAAAGCTGAGGGATCTGGGACTTAACAGCCATCTGTGTGCATGGGTGTTGGACTTCCTCACTGGCAGAACTCAGGTGGTGAGGGTGGGCAGGTGCTTCTCCAACAGCATCACCATCAACACAGGAGCACCTCAGGGATGTGTCCTCTCGCCACTGCTCTACTCCCTCTACACTTCAGACTGTGTGGCCACCCATGGCTCCAACACCATTGTGAAATTTGCTGACGACACAGTGGTGTTGGGTGCCATCTCCAACAACGATGAGGCGGCCTACATGGATGAAGTGAAGAATCTGGCATCGTGGTGCCAGGACAACCACCTCCAGCTGAACGTCAGCAAGACCAAGGAGCTGGTGGTGGACTTCAGAAGGGGTCAGCACAGAGACTACAAGCCCATCATCATCAATGGAGCTCCAGTGGAGAGGTTGCAGTCCTTCAAGTATCTTGGTGTCCACATCTCCTCAGACCTGACATGGGCTGCCCACATTCAGGTCCAGACCAAAAAGGCTAGGCAGCGCCTGTATCACCTACGACAACTGTGGAAGTTCAGGGTCTCTCCAAAGATCCTCAGGATTTTCTATACAGGCGCTGTGGAGAGCATCCTCACACAGAACATGACATCGTGGTTTGGGAACAGCTGTGTGAAGGACCAAAAAGCTCTCCAGAGAGTGATCCGTACAGCAGAACGCTGCTGCAGGATTGTTCTCCCCCCGCTTCAGGACACCTACACCAGGAGATGCTGGACTAGAGCAGCGCAGATACTGAAGGACCCATCCCATCCTGGCAACAAACTGTTCCAACTTGTGCAATCTGGTAGAAGGTTCCGCATCTTCCGGGCAAGGACAGAGAGACTCAAGAGGAGCTTCTATCCCCAAGCCATCCGTGCCCTAAACACACACACCCGCCCTCTCACATCATCTATAATTGACTGAGACAGGACTCTTCCAGACACTAAACCAAGGCACAATGTACATTTCAATTCCTTTAATTTTAAATATGTTTATATTGTCTATCCTGTAAAATAGTCAGATGTCTATTCATATTAATGTACAGAATTCACCTGCTTGCTGATACTACTGCACATTCACCCAGTGTATATACTATATGTATGTATATATATATAATGTTCTTCCTCTACCCCCCCCCCAATTTTTGCACATGTCGAGGAGCGTGTCAGGCTACATTTCACTGTGTGTTATACTTGTACAACTATGCATGTGACAAATAAAGAACCTTGAACCTTGAACCGTGCCACCCTCCTAGGAAGAGCTGAGTAGAGCCCCAAACGAGAGGTCACCCAGGAGCTATGGAGCAGAAGCCAGAGGGGGTTGCAGTGGCGTGCCCGCGGGCTCTGCCGGCAGCCAGCTGTGCCAGAGAGGACCGAGCTTCAGGCCCAGAGGCCTGAGGCCTGAGGGTACCCCACCCCCGGAAGGGCCCACAGGCGCCAGGCCCCGCCAATCGGCCACCAGGAGTGAGCCGGTACATACATGAGCGCCCAGCCCCAGTCGACAAGAACCACCAAAACACCAACGTCTGAGGGCATCAGCCACCGGCAGGGAGTGTGGTGAGGGGAGATAGGCCTCCATACTTTCGAGGGCCATAGATGTACCCAGAGAGGTTGAGTCTAAGACCCAACCTGACATATAGACACAGACGAACAGGCGCACGCGGACACAAACGTGCCTTCCCACCCCCATATACACAACCAAATACTCGGCACTCACCCAACGTGTAGACAGACACAAATAGACACTGCACAGACAGTCACACTCCCCAAACATACTCTATATCCCAGGTCCAGGTACCCCCGCCCCCAGAGGGGCAAGCCGCACCTAGACCCAGGAGATGTAACACTTCTCTGGGGTGGAGGCAAGCGGACCACCTCCTTATCTGCAGTAGCAGGGAGGCCCTGCATCCCAGACCCCAATCTGACGGCCAGCACCTCCTCCCAGCCCCTCAGCCCTGACGGCTAACAGAACCGGGGTGAGTGAAGACCTCAAACCTCCCTACACCCGCTCATATGTAGTGTTGCTGTGTGCTGTTCTAAAGTGCATTTAAAACACAGGAGAGCATGTTCCTGCTTCCTATCAGAGAGCTCCTTCCGAAAACCCTCAGTGTCTATATGCATTTAAAATTGTGGGTAGGGCACCAGCGCCAGAGGTGGGTTGGAATACACCGACCATGGATGCTGTAAAAGGTGCCCACCCCCAAGGCCCTATATGTATGTGTTATGTGAGAGTGTGAGTAATGTGGATGTCTAGGTTGCAGAATAAAATTGAGGCACAGGCGGCCAGAAGGGGACAGAGGGGGAGTGCCTCCCCTACACCCCAAGCCCTGCGTGTGTGGGTGTGTGTGGTAGAGTGGGAATAGGGAGGCAGCTGAGGATGGGGAGGGAAGAAAGGGAGGGGCAAGCGGCCCCTCCCTGGGGCCAGCTCCCCCGCTGACCCCAGTAGGCACCCCCACACTCTGGAACCCACCAGGGCAAGGGGGCCCAGACCCATCCGGACCGGGGCCCGCAGCAGCAGCACAGAGTCCGGGGTAGCCCACCCGACTCCACCCCAGAGAAAACTGCACCCACCCCATCATCCAATCATCTCCCAAACTACACAAGACAATAGACACCCAGGTTGAGTTCCTTCTCTACCTGTCCTATATCTCTCCCCCACCTGCAGAGTGAGCTCCTGTAGTGAGGAGACCACCTGCAAAGATATAACAGCCTCCCCACCAGTTAGAGAGCCCCCTAGTTGGGCCGATGCATCAGAGATCCCCTGCACTGGGGCTGAGCCCCCCTGCACCCACCTGCCCACAGCTCCGGCGACACAACAGCCAGGACCCAAGCCCCCAAGGCCCAGCCAGCACCCCAGACCGGGGGCGGAGCACCCCCAGACCCCCAAGCCTCCACGCCCATCCCGGACCCACCCAGGGGCAGCCAGGCTACCAGGCCAGTAACCAACGTCGGCCAGCACACACCCTCCCCCATCTCCGCTGTACGCAGCCACAAGGAAAACACCATCTAAGAGCCACCAGAGCCCCTAACCAGTTCATGGCCACGTCCCCCGGGTTAGGCCCTCCAGGGAAAACGTCCCTAGGGACTCCCCAGACGCCCTAAGGCCGTCCCTACCCCCATATCAACCACAATAGTGAAGGCAGGACCAAACCATGACCCCCCACCCCCACTAGGTGATGAAGCTGATCAAAGGAGCCCAAAGGGATTGATCAAATGTGATCGCAGAGGCTGTATCAAGACTAATGTGATCTATTAGATGGTTTCTATATTGGTTAGAATTAAGATTATTTTTATTTTTCCAGTTAATGAGGACCATTTTCTTGGCAATGCATAGGGCCGTAAAAACAACGTGGGCTGTGTTTATTTCTGCAGTGACCTCATCCAAGTTGCCCAGCAAGCATACTAAAGGGGAGGCTGGAATGTTACATTTCAGACACTTTGATAAGTCTTCACATTTCTCACGCCAAAACTTCTGAACTGGTGGACAGAACCAAAGAGCGTGGATGTAATTGTCCGGTGTATTTGCTAGACAGTGTGAGCAGTTGTTGGAAGGTGTATAGGCCATCTTGAACATCCTATGACCAGTATAGTGCACTCTATGTATTATTTTGTATTGTATTAATTGCAAACTGGGATTTCTGATCCATTGAAAGGTTTTTAAGCATATCTGAGACCAAAGGTTTTGGTCTAAGTTGATCGATAAATCTGCTTCCCATTTTGCAATAGGAAGGGATATTGATTCATCTATTTTAGAAAGTGTTCTGTATATTTAAAACAATAATTTGGGGGCTTTTAGGTTAAAAAATTCCACAACACTTGGTGGTGTTTGTAATTCAGCTTCACTGGGATTAAATTTCTTTTTTACTATGGATTTAATTTGTTGATATTCCAAAAATCGTTTCTTGGAGAGTCGAAAATACGAGTTGTCGCCGACCAGAAACGGGAGCTGGAAGCATGTAAATATAATAATAACCACTGCAGCTAACAAGAATGCCTGACGAGCCCAGTTGTAAGTAAGCTATTTAGACTCGACTGTGTTCGTGTTTTTTTCCGAAACAATAAGTTCCTTTTGGAGCAGCCTTTCAATGCTTCTCTCTGTCTCTTGCTAGCAAAGTTGACCCAGACAACAAAGTAAAGCTAGTTTTCGGCTACGAGCCCAACACGGAACCCGACGTATTAGCCAGAGGTCCCTTTACTACGGTTCGGAGCCATAGACCTGTTTTATATACGTGAGGAATATTCTTATATATGAGATCGCTGCAAAAAGTGCAGCCTTACCTAATGTCCACCCTACTGTTAGTCATTTTATATTAAGATTTAAAAATCTAGTTGGTATTGGTACGGCGAGTAGCCTTCAGTAATAGTAATAAATCACACAGCAATAGTACATTCATGTACGGTAGTTGTAAACAGCATGATAATATATTAAGTAATCCAAAGTATTCAGAATATGTTACTCTCATTGACTAATGTAACAGAATATGTTACAAAATACATTTTCGGGCATGTATTCTGTAATCTGTAGTGGAATACATTTTAAAAGTAACCTTCCAAACACTGTGGAGACCAATGACAATGTAAACAAAAAGGGGAGACACAAGGACACACAGCAACACACATATCACCAACACACAGAGGACTAAGGCTACGTTCACACTGCAGACGAAAGCACATCAAATCCGACTTTTTTGACCCTATGCGACCCATATCCGATCATGGTATGACAGTTTGAACAGCAGAAATTCAGTATTTTCAAATGCAACCTAGGTCACTTTCGTATGTGGTACTGAATCCGATACATATCTGATGTTTTAGAAAGTGACTGCTCTTTGAATGGTCATGTCACATTTAATCCGTCTTTTATGTCACTGACACAAGACGCCAATTATCAGCGCCGGAGAAGATAAACCTCTGAGTGGAGGTAGCAGCCACTGCTCCAAACGAGGCCAATGTTAAAGCACGGGCACTCTTTTTTTCCTCAGTGTCCTTCTTTCTCTAATTATTTGTCAAAATTCTGTTGGTTGCGACTGTGCAGAAATTGATAGACTACTGGAACAACACCTACTAGCTTTGTAGCCGCCATTTTACTGCCATAAACAGAGCACGTTGTGTGTGACGTCTCTTTTGCGCATGCGGGCACTTTGAGGGCAGTGAACCGTTCACACTAGAGCGCGTTTGCTTTCACATTTTATTTGTAGTATGAACAACCAGACAAAAAAAAATTGTATTTGATCAAAGAATTGAAATTGAGCATTAAGACCCGCAGTGTGAACGTAGCCTTTGACACAACAGAAACCCAATAGACAAGAAACTAAAGTGTTCATAAGAATACCTCATGATGTAATAAGAATAACCTCAGAACTAACCAGTAAACTTAAATTACACTGGAGGGTGGCACGGTCCCCCCCTTACTTGACATTTCTGATTTTAAAAATAAAATCATAACAAACCATAATCCTTTAAACTACTTTCAGACACATTAGTTTTTCTTCTTATGAAATGAACAAACATTTGCTTGCCCTTTTAAATACTAACACAGATGCATTTGGGTTTTTACAGCTTTATAACATGGTCCCGTGGATTGGCAAATGGTTCTCTTACCCAAATGAATTCAAAAAAGCATTTGCAGCCAATAGGGAACAACAGAGGAAATTGGTGAGTCATTTGAAAGAAACTCTCGATCCAAAGATGTGCAGAGGATTTGTGGATGCCTTTCTGATTCACCAAGACAATTTGGAGGTGAGGAACAAAAATTTATACAATGCTGATATTGTTTTTTAAAGAGCAATGGCAATAATGTGAACACGTTATCCTAACCTGGTGGTGCTTCTGCCCAACTGGTGAATAGAAATCTGTTTAACACAGCAATGTGAATCTGTGTCATAATCAAAAGCTTCAGCTGTTGAATAACTTCTGGTTTTATACGCAGAAATCTGGAATTACCACCAGTCATTTCCACAATGAAAACCTCTTGATAACAATAATGAATTTATTTGTTGCTGGCACTGAAACATCAGCACGCACAGTCACATGGGGACTTTTTCTTATGGCCAAGTATCCAAAGATACAGGGTAAGAACCTGTAAATGTTCAAAGTGCTTGCAAACAACAAAAATTTATGTTACACTGAAGTCAGATTTATTACATCCTTCGAGCCCTTTCATCTTCCAGAGAAGGTCCGGGAGGAGCTAAGTAGTGTAGTGGGAAATCGTCAGGTTCAGTTTAAAGACAGGACAGAGCTGCCTTTCACCAATGCTGTCATCCATGAGACACAGAGGCTAACAGCTGTTGCTGCCCTGGGGCTTCCTCACAGAACTTCACAGGACATTACCTTTAGAGGTCACTTCATTAAGAAGGTAAAATATATCAGAAAACAAATGATGTGTTTATTATATATTGAAGCTTAAAAAATAATCATATTTTGATTACTAAAACATCGTCACAGATGTGGAAAAAGAGAGTTGAATGATTCTTTCTCTCAGTGTTTGATTATCAAATTGAAGATCAACATTTCATGGAATTTGCAGTAGTCAGCATGTTCCAGCATCAAGGAGGAAATATTCTGTGATCAATATTTATAGAATACAACAGTGTGAAAAATGTTCATCAGCTTGATTTTTTTTAAGCTAGATTAAATGAATCAAGTAGGTTTTCAAAAACTCATTTTGTCCCAGATGAAATTTTGTTTTGAAGTCACAGCTAAAAAATAATATTTGATTTTTGTGTAATATCCTGTGAATACATATTAAAAAAGGGAGGAAAAAAGTTTGGTTTGTGTATTCAACAGGGGACAGCTGTGTATCCTTTCCTGTTTTCTGTTCTGTCTGATGAGAGTAAATGGGAGAAACCGTACACTTTTTATCCGGAACACTTCCTGGACAAAGATGGAAAGTTTATCCAGCGTGATGCCTTCATGGTTTTTTCTGCAGGTTTGTAATCAACTTCTTGTCATGACCCAGATTACTATCAGATAAAATGTAGTGTATTTTTTTGTTTTCTATTTCAGGTCGCAGGGTTTGTCCCGGAGCAAATCTGGCCAGAACGGAAGTCTTCATCTTCTTCACCACCCTTCTGCAGCACTTCCGAATTACTTTTCCACCTGGAGTTTCAGAGGATGAACTGCTTCTATCACCATCTGATAGTCTCATCCTTAACCCTTCAAATGTTAAACTGTGTGCTGTCCCCTTGTGAGACACAGTGGGCTGATGTAATTAATTCTAAACAAGAAATATTTTATATAAAACAAGCTTCTAATGAAATAGGTAGAAGGGGTGGTGTTTCTTTGATTCTTCTTTAAGCAAGCAAAATCAGTTTGAGACTCCGAAAGAAACCTGCAGCACCACGAGGAGCTTTGTAAGGATATTTTTGATTCATGTCAATTAGCTTGAATAAAAATGTACACTTAAACACAAGAAAACGAATCGATGAGTGAGTGGAAAGACAAATTGATCTGTGAACTAATGATAATCAATTATAATCGTCATCTTTAGGAGCTGGTTAAAGCAGAGATAAATGTAGAATGCAGCTGAAATAAAGCAAAATGTAACTAACAAAGTGTGCAGGTCAGTACATAAAAGGTGTGGTTTGCCACTGTTAAAGTATTTCTGTATCAACCAACAACCAAATATATCTTTAACTTCAACCAAGTTCTCAGGTGGATTTTCTTGTACATTGCATACATGTGTTAATTGAACATGGTGACTCCATTGTGGTCAGAGAAGTGACTTGTTCCAAGCAATGTGAGTTTCACTTGTGCTACTGTTATAAATGTATTTAAAGGTTTCTGACATTGTAGAATTTGTAGTATGTCAGGAGGCGGAGCAAGACACTTTGAATAACAATGATACACAGTGAGAAATATGAAACAATGATCCTAAAAATACTGGCAATTACCAGTGCTACCTTCCCAGCCTCCTCATATACACCTTTGGTATCAATTTCAAAATCCTGTATCACCTTGTTTCCGAGTAATTACATTCACAAGAATTTCAGAAAGCTTGACCTCTGACCTTGACTTTGAAGTCAACGTTACTGAGATTTAAACTCATCTAAGATTTTTAATAAATGCTAGTTCTCATACAGCACTTACTCTACCTGAACACTTAAAGCACTTCATGCAATTTGCCTCATTGCCCCATTTATACATGCATAAGTACCTTGTATCTAACATTCACACACATTCATAACCGATGATACAAGAAGAGGATAGGTTAATTGATCAATCTAAATTGTCCATAGGTGTGAATGCAGGAGTGAATGTGAGTGTGAATGGTTGTCTGTCTCTGTGTGTTAGCCCTGCGTCAGACTGGCGACCTGTCCATGGCATGCCCTGCATCTCGCCCTATGACAGCTGGGATAGGCTCCAACAGACAGACCAAGACAGACTGTCTGTCCGGGACTGAAAAGTGGTGGTAGAAGAGAGACAGGGGCTCTTGTTGATGATAGGTGATTACTCACTCTTACTTTTTGTCAGTTAAACTACTTTGTAAATCATTCACACATCATTCCCATGATTTTATGGTCTAGTAGTGATCCACTGAAGTACATGATGTACTTTTTGAACTTTGGCTTGTTGTGAAACCGTTCTTTTTCTCAGTGTTTGCATTTAGGACAAAGGAAACTCAGAAAGAGGTCATTGCCATTTTGTTCTGTGTCAAAGGCAATTCAAAAGGGGTTTATTTCTTTTTCCGAATCACATGATTGGCTTTGAAATAACAAATAGTAATAGTAATAATGATAAAAACAGAAAGAACTAATTCAAATAATACAAAAAATATGGCCTCTTTTAGTGCATGACATTCGGGAGTACATCGACTTTGGAACAAAAGCAGCAACACAGCAATATTTTTTCTCTTCAATTATAAATTTCTATTGAAATTGTTGAATTCTTAACAGACCGACAGAAGTTTCTATGGCACACCTCTTCACCACATACAGTCCCTGGGACTCATATGCTATCACAATAGTCACTTCTTAGTGTGAGAACTGCTAAGAAGACACAGGTTTTCTTCTATGACCACAAGTCCAGGAAATTAAAAGCTGGTTGCTTTTCTTAAAGCACTTAGTCTTGTCTAGATAAATGTATAATGCATAGACAGGAAAAAGTGAATTAAGTCACCTCTGGGGCAGCTATAGGTGGACTCTTGGAAGAGGAGATAAAATAGATGAGCAGCATTTGGTTTAAAGTTTTTTTTTTCTGTAGACAGCCAGCAGACGAGGGTGGAAAAATACAGTAGAAAGATTCTGTATGAATTCCACTTACATATAAAACAGCATACTGCTCAAATATTATCAAGCAATGAATGTATTTGAGTGAAATGATAATGACAAAAAACAGAAATACTGACACAATCCAACCTCTGGCTGTTTGTAAGGCCCTAGTAGTCTCCCAGATGTCATCTCTTTCTTTAGAGAAGCTTCACCGGCTTGAAAGATGCCAGCTAAGGCATTACTTATCCTGCTTCTCACTAAATGTGATTTATGAGAACTCTCTCTCTCTCTCTCTATATATATATATATATATATATATAAAAATACTTTTTATTTTTATTTAAATCACAAAACCCAAGTTTGTATTAAATTATAAGAAATAAATACAATATAGAGTTAAGCTGTTACAGTTTAGGACATAGCTTTCTTTTTAAATCTCAGGTGTATTTTCCTGTGTACTTGTACACCTGTGTGGTCACCCCAATGATTGCAAGAAAGTAACTAAACCCAAGCAACCTAGGTTTCGCTCTTTTTCAGTCAACAGACATCACATTTCAAATGGCATTTGGTACATCAAATTATGTCTTACTGTTTTAACAGAATTTCTAACACTACAATAACGACAGATACTTTCTTCAAATTATAGATACTGCATAAAAATATGTCATGAATATTTATAAAAGATCTCATATCTCAAAGTTGAACATTGCTTTGAATTGAATTGTTTTTGAAATGAATATTCTTTAAATAAAAACGTTAACCATGGACAGGTACACTATGACAAAAAAAAAACAAAAAAAACTTGTCTCTTGTCTTGTTGTTACTTCCCTGATGGAGGATGAGCATATCTGCATTAAAACACTTTCAAAATAAATCACTTCATTCCTCTCATATGTCTCTATACTAGTATATGATCCATTTGTGTGATGCTAAACTACATAAAACAGGACCATTTGGACCTCTCACCAAAGAACAAGGTGGAGATTTATAGGTAAGAAGAAAAGGCAGTCTTGTTCTTCAAAATCAGTTTATTTCATTTCGCACTTCATGTGAGCTTCTCTGAAATAACAAAGAATAGAAAAAAACAGAAAGCACTAAAGGCTGAATTCCTTGACAGGCGTCAGGGTAGGACAACTTTGGAAAAAAATGCAACTTCATCACACGCAGGAAATAGCATCAAGTTTGTGAGGTGAAGGAATGAGGGTACTAGTTGGAGTTCATCCTTTGAAATGCTAGGTGCAGGAGTGAAACGGCAGTGCTGTTTACACAAGTAAATACAAAGTGCATTTTCTAAAGTTTCTGTGTTTTATTATTAAGGGGAAAAAAAATCCAAGCCTGTGCGAAAACGTGAATGTTCAGCCTATTTACATTGTTTCTTATTAGCTAGGCCCTGGGACGTAAAATGCCGGTTAACTGGTTAGATTTGTTTTCATATTCCACTCTCCATGTTCTAGATGTTGGATCTGCAGAATGGTCATTTTCAGTCTTCTCTGTCTGTCAGTGTGTCATGCAGTTTGACAAGATTAACAACCTTGGCAAAGAAGGGTGCCCATCTCCAGCTCATGCAAAAGCATACACGTATCAATGAAGCCCAAATGGTTACAATGATTTGGGCTTCATTAGTTTGTAAAGGCCGATCCATATGCCTATGATAACTATGATAACTAAAAACAGAACCATATGCTCATATTTTCATAAAAATCGGAGGATTGAAATGTTGTAGAAATGAAATAAAGGGCTGATAAAAAAAACCCCAACCAAACAAGAAACTACCCAAAAGAACTCATTTTTATAAAAGGATTGAGAAGATAGGACAACTTTGTTTAGACTGCCTCCTTCTTACATACAGGGAACAGCACATAATTTGTGAGGTGAAGGGCTGAGAGTAATGCCCACAACTGCAGTCAGATCTAACTCTTCTTCTGAAACTCCAGGTGCAGGAGTGAAACGAAAATGTTGAAGGAGGGTGGTGAAGAAGAGGAAGAGCTCCATCCTGGCCAGACTCTCTGCAAGGCAAATCCTGCGACCTGCAAGAGAGAATTCATGAAACATTTCTGGCTCTCTTGTGAGTCAAAGTAAACTAAACAGTGATGGCTGAGCTCACAAACCTGCAGAAAATGGAATGAAAGCATCTCTTTTGACAAACTTTTTCTCTTTGTCCAGGAAGTGAGCAGGATAAAAGCTATGTGGTCTCTCCCACTCGTTGGGATCATGCAGGACAGATGTCAAGAAAGGAAACATTGTGGTTCCCTGCAGAAATGACAATACACAAACTGAAAATGCTTTTTATATGATACATTTTAATAGCTTACAGAAGTTACTTATGTTACTAATGTCAAACTTCTTCTAGCAAAGGTAATGAGGGGGGTTATGGTCAATGGCTGTCTGATCAGCATGATCAGACATGTTAATACTTGATATTAACAGTATGTTACAAGCCATTTTCAGAATATCTTTAAAGGGTAAATTCAATAGTTTTATGTTAAATACCTTTTTAACAGTGAAGAAATATTAAATATACATTCTACTTAAGTAAAGATAGACATGACAACCCCTTTTACAGTACAATCAAAAACACTGTAGAATACAAATCCAGTTACTAGTTTAACAACAGTATATATATATATATTTTTAAACTTTTTTTATGGGTGATATTTCATTACATAATTTCCCATTTATTTTAATTTATTCTACCATAAAATTCGATACATTTTCCATTGTGTAATTACTAAAAAATTCTATATTCTATATTTTTATGGTAGTAAAAGGACATTTTGTTATTTAACTTTAAATTTGTTTTTCGGTCGCCCCAGAAAATCACAGTTTATTACTCAAGGTGGAGTATTTGAATCAGCTGGGTATCCAGACAAGAGGGAAATACAAATCCAGATTAGCTGCAACACAGATTAATTGATCAGCATTTTTTTCCCTTTGCATATAGGCTGTGATCAGCAGCATATTGGTGAAAATACTTGCATTCTTCTATAACAGTTTTGTAATTCTTCTTTTTTTTTTTATTATTCATCTGCTGCCTTTAGCGCCCTCTTCTGTCACACTGTCTTCCTGCATGTCTTCCTGCACTGCTATCTTCATGTTTCCTCCTGCCTGCTCTCTTTTCACCATTGTCCAACATGCTTAATATCCCTCCTCAAACAAATGTATAAATAATCTCAATCTTGGCTCTTTGAATTTGTCTCTAAACTGCTCAGCCTGAGCCTTCCCTCTGATGTAATCCTTTATAATGGTGTCTTTTGTCAAATTAATCAGCATTTATTTACTTAATGCGTTTGATGGCCTGCATGTCGTTCTTGCACTTTTTTTCTAATATTATTGTGAACAGCAGGCAACTTCCTCTTTTTTTTTTCCTTTCAGCTATTCCCTTTAGCGCCCTGTTCTTTCACATTAACCTTCTGCATGTCCTCCTTCTTCACTATTTAAATACATCTTCTCTGTGGTCTTCATCTTTTCCTCCTGCCTGGCTGCTCTGTCTTCACCATTGTCCAAAATCCTTAATTCCCCCACTCTGCATATGTCCAAACAATCTCAACTTTGCCTCTCTTACTTTGTCTCCAGAGTGTTCAAACTAGAATCCATCATATGCATTTTGCTTTTTTCTGCTCTTTATAATTATTAATTGGTTCTGCACTCACTTTAGCTTCTTTTTTACATGCTGTTTTAAAAGGAGGATTGTTGGCGTGCCACTTTAGCTCAGTGGGTGAGCAGGCAGCTACACGGCTGGAGAAAGAAGGCTCAGGTGTGAGTCTGACCTGCAGCCCTTTGCTGTGTGTCTTTCCCCTCTTTCTTCCCAGTTTCCTGTCTACGTTAACTGCTACATAATCCAATAAAGGCAAAATTGCCAGAAAAAAATATCTAAAACAAAAAGAGCATTGTGAATCTGTACAATATTATCACGAAAAACAGAACAGCACACTAAAAGGCACATAATCTATTCTCCAGTTTCACATTTTACAAAGTTTTGCAAGGTGCTTTTGTTGTTTTTTAGTTGTTTTTTTTACGATAACTTGTGTAATTCTTGCCTGTATGATTTTAAAGCTTTCTTTTGCTGGCAGCAGTTTTCCTGCCAACCTCCCTGTAAGCTTCAGTTTCCTGCTGACAGGTAAATCAGTAGAAGCAATGCCTATGCCTTTGTCTGCATTTAGGCTGACCTGCCTGTCGTCATGGCCCCAACTTGAAAGGACATTGTTCATATTGCATTTATTTTTTCCATCAAGATATTTCTTTGGTATATCTTCGGTTTTCCATAGTAAGTGTGTTAGTGTTACCTTCTCAATAAAGTGACCCTGAAAAGTGATGTCTCGGGTGGTTTTGTGAGGAAGTGCAGTGGGGTTGATGCTGCTCAGTCTCTGTGTCTCATGGATGACGGCGTCAGTGAAGGGCAGATTTTTCCTGTCAGCAACCAGCACCTGTCGATCTCCTATGACCCTCCTCAGTTCTTCCTGGACCTCATCTGAAGCATAAAAGAGTGCAGTGGACACATCCCCATTACCTGACTAAAACACTTCACTTATACTAAATAAATACATAAAAGCTTTGTGGTTCACTTGATCTTGTCTTTTTTTACTTAGGCTTCTCACCCTGTATCTCTGGATATTTGGCCATAAGCAGAAGTCCCCATCTCAGTGTAGTTGATGTTGTCTCAGTGCCGGCAGCAAACAGATGCATGACTGTCATCAAAAGGTTTTCATTATGGAAGTGACTGTTGGTAATCCCAGATTCCTGCACATAGACATTTAACAGAAAAGTCACTCAAATCATTCTAATCCTAAAGTTTAGTTGAGTTGCAAATCAACAGAGGTTTCAGATACATTTCAAAGTTCTATGAACACACAGCTACAGTTTTGGGCAGGAACATGCACAATTTCACCCTGAGCTTCAGTGAAACATTCATGAACACCAACTTGAAAGATGATAGAGATGCCAACCTCCAGATTTTGTTTGTGAACCAGAAAGGCGTCTACAAAGCCTCTGCACATCTGGGGATTCAGAGTCTCTTTTAAGCGACTGAAGATGGTTTGGTTTTGTTTCTTATTGGCAGAAAATATTTTGTGTATTTCATTTCTGTCCGCAGTCCACTTGAAGAGCGATGGAAACATGTCGAAGATCTGTCAAAGTTGACAAAGTAATGCTTTATGCAAAGCAAAATAAATAATACTGTCAGTGAATATACTTCAAAAAGTAGCAATTAATACCTGTATTGAGGGACTTCCACCAAGTCTAACAATTCTGGATGTTCTCTTTACCAGAAGTATAAACTCTGGATCATTATATTCAAATCTGCTGCCATAGATGATGGAGCAGATAATATTAGAGACTGCACAGTTAACTGGTTGGGTTGTGTCAAAAGCTTCTCCTGTTACAACAGAAATAAAATAGCACATGAACTTTAGAAAAAATGTCAGTTTATTTACTATTTACTAAACTCAACACAATGTGATTAGTTTTACCTTGAAATTTCTTAAAAACTTCGATGAGGTATTGACATTCTTCAATTATTTTGTCCTCACATGCTCTCTTGCCCATCCCAAAGTCTCTCAGGTTAGTCAGTGCAAAGCGCCTCATTTCTTTCCATGAATCGCCGTTGGACCACGCAACCCCTGAAATGAAATTTTTACAAAATAGTTTACCTAAGATAGATTAACCTCAAAGTGTAACTGTGTGAAAAAATACATTTATTGTAGCATAATATTAGGGTTGCCAACTGATTCGTCCTTTTAGTCTACCTTAAATGTCACATATATTGACCATTACTTGTAATGTCACATACACTGCATATTTACACTATGTCCAGAGGGTTGTGCATTGTGTTTCTGACATAACAGAGTGTCTCTTATTTCATAGTTAAAAAAAATAGCAACCCTACATAATAGTCATTTTCCATACCATGTCCTTGACTAAGTTCACGCATGATCTCCGGTGGATTTCTGTCTCCAAACACGTCATCATAGTCTACAAGTGCCTCCTTCACTGTCTTGTATCCTGCCAGGACCACCACTTTTTTGGGTCCCAGATAGAGAGTAAAGACTGATCCATATTTCTTAGATAACTAGGGACAGAAAAACAAAGGCAAATGTGTTACCTGGTGAGCTGAATCTACAAAACACCCTGAAAGAAAAGTAATGCAAAAACAAACTCACCTCCAGTAATGTGTTGTAGGGTTTTTTCAGGTCAAGCTGAAGTAGGTTCCCAAGCAACGGAAGTGGTCTGGGTCCTGGAGGCTCCTTACCATGTTTTTTGGTACTGAAACTGGAAGGGGAGAATAAATACATGAACAGGAAAACTGTGAAAGCCCCCAACAAGAATGTGTAACTGAAGCAATGGAGAAAAACATCTAATATCCCCATGGTTTTCAAACCAAATATCCACTGAGAGTTCTTTTTACAGGGACTCTCTGACTCTGCATTTGGTACTAAACTAGATTTTTTCTTTGGTGCCCAATCTAGACAATAAGTACTAGGGGGTGGGATGATTTAGTAGAAAGGTTCCAAATGAACGACCTAGTAAACCATTACTGTGAACAAACTGGTACTTTGGACTGTGCAAATATGCAAATATTAAAATTGTACTTGGATCTGAAGCAACTAGAAGGACATTTCTATGTACAACCACAAGCTCAGCTGCAACCGTAAGATGTTATATATTTAAATATATATATATATATATGAAGATTTTTTTAAAATTTTCATTGTAAATAGACTAAAGCACTTAATTAAAAGTAGTCTAACATAAACGTAAATGCTGTAATTTGATTAATAAACCATGTAACTTGGATGGATTCGATGCTGGTGTGACCACAGTGCACATGTCTGCTGTTGCTCACAGTGGTCCAAGGGACCGCTCAGGGAGTTTGTGTGTTCGCTTCAGACACATGAAAAATTAGAGGGAACATTTCTCCCAGGCTGTGGAACTCTCTACCCCCAGATATAAGAAACATTGGTTTTCTCCCCCAGTTAAAAACTCAAAACCCATCTGTTCAAATCTGCATATTCACTGTCAACCCACTGTTTGTTAATTTTATCTTGTGCTTTTGCCATTGTTCTATTATGTGTTTTTATCTATTGTATAGTGTCCTCTGGTGTCTTGAAAGGTGCTTTATAAATAACATTTATTATTATTATTATTATTATCTTTAAGAGCAAGTGAGAAAATGATACATGTGCTGATGTAGCATTTTTAAGTGATCAAAACATTCTGTCTTTATTGTCAGTCAAAACTTTACAGACAGCTATTCAGAGACTGTTCTAAAGCAAACAGGCAAATGTGACATCTTTACCTACATGAGACTGGGCTAATAAAATTACATTGAAACAAAAAGGAGCAAATTAACTAAACATTTTGTAAATCAGTGACTCTGAAATAAAGGACACAAAATGACAGAAGGCAATATTCTGAAAAAAAACTGGGCTGATTTATTTTCACAGGACAACAACAGCTTTTAAAGAGCATCTCTTCCTCACATTTGGGAAACAGCAAATAATTTGTGAATAGAAGGGCTGAGAGTAATGCCCACAACTGGAGTCAGATCATTTTGGAAACAACTTGTCATGTTTCGGCTGTGTGGCAGGCGGGGATTGGACCCAAACGCAAACTCACGGGGACAGAACTTGAACTCAAAAGCACAGCTTTATTGCTGGAAAATAGAACACAAGCAATACAAAACTAAACTGGGAAAAGCTAATTATAATGCATACCAGGAGACACGGGGAGAATTGCACACAGCATGAGGGAGAACACGACACCAAACTGAGGGAGACGCAGACATAAATACACAGAGGGTTAACGAGGGAAGTGGGAACACACGGGGAACACCGGTGACACTGATAATCATAACAAGACACGGCAGGAGTAAATGCAACACTGACAGGAGACTGTCAAAGTAAAACAGGAAGTACACAGAGGTTCAGACAGGAGGAGAGAGAGCACGGGGAGAACACAGACATAACAGGCTGGGGAAAACATGGAATAAAACATGAGGGGAGACGAGGGCTCACAGATACATAGAGGGGCACACAGGGGATAAAAGTCACAAGGGGAAATCAATTAAGGAACAAAATACAAAAAGACATGAATACTAAGACTGCTGGGCCAACATGGCCCAGGATCATGACACAACTGAGGTGAATCTTTTAACCAGAGCAAGATATGTTTTTAGAGAATATCTGTTCCTCACATTCTGGAAACAGCACACAGTTTGTGAGGTGAAGGGCTGAGAGTAAAACCCACAGCTGGAGTCAGATCTAATTCATTCTCTGAAACTCCAGGTGCAGGAGTGAAATGGAAATGGAGGGTGGTGAAGAAGAGGAAGAGCTCCATCCTGGCCAGACTCTCTCCAAGACAAATCCTGCGACCTGCAAGAGAGAACTACTTTCATCAATGTAACCTAAACAGTGATAGTTGAGCTCACAAACCTGCAGAAAAGGGAATGAATGCATCTCACTTGACAAATTAATTCTCTTTGTCCAGGAAGTGAGCAGGGTAAAAGCTGTGTGGTTTCTCCCACTCCTCTGGATCATGCAGGACAGATGTCAAGAGAGAAAAAAATGTGGTTCCCTGATGAAATTACAAAACACAAACTGAAAATGCTTTCTATATTGTATATAACTCATATGGAAATCAAAGAAAATGGACATGCTTCTTATGACAGAAAACTGCTTCCAGATGAAGATGAATATTGGAAAGAATCAGAATCATTTACCTTGACACATCTTCCAATATTCATAAAGGGTGAAGCTGAACAAATTTTCAGCCCAGCTTTAATTTTCTATTACAGTTTTTGCCCACTGCTTGAACACATTTTGCAAAACCCCGCTCGCTGTGCCAAAACTGTACACACAAGTACACATGACACAACACTGGGAAATATACTATTCACATCTGTGCCAAATTGGAACTCTACTCCCAAAACCTAAACTCTGCTGTCAAAACCTAACATTCCTTTGTCAAAATGTAACTCTGTTGACAAAATGACACATACTTGCATCATATGCAAACACTCACAGATCAGGGGGAACACACTAGTCTGCTGTACATAAAACACTGCAGTCCTTGATTCCCATTGTTTACAGTTTTTGCCCGTTGCCTGAACACATTTTGCAAAACTTTGCTCATTGTGCCAAAACCCTAAACACAAGTAAACATGACACAACACTGGGAAATATACCATTCACATCTGCACCAAATTGAAACTCTACTCTCAAAACCTAAACTCTGCTATCAAAACCTAACATTCCTTTGTCAAAATGTAACTCTGTTGACAAAATGACACATACTTGCATCATATGCAAACACCTACAGAGCAGGGGGAACACACTAGTCTACTTTATATAAAGCACTGCAGTCTTTGATTTCCATTGTTCATTCAGAAGGCATATTTTCAGGAGACACATTTGCAAACAACCAAAAAAGCAAATAGGCCTACTCAGTATTGTACATTGCAGTACCATGAATTCAGATAAAGCAAAAAAAACAAACAAAAAAAACAACCCATAATACAGTAATAGAAAAAACACTATACTGTAAACAAAAAATCATGACAATTGTGCATACGTGGGCTCATGGATCCCGCCGTCTGTTGGGGTCTGGCCACAGGACCTCATCGACATCGCAAGCAATGTCTTCTCCCGCTAGGCACCGGGGAAAATATCCTCTTCCATGTCAAAACCATCCATGGATTGCTGTCACCTGAATGTCGCCGCAGGCCTGTTCCATTGCCTGCAGAAGAGGCATGCGGGCATGTAGTTGGCGGTCATATACACGCCATCTCCAAGCCAAAAAAAATTCCTCTATAGGGTTTAAAAATGGTGAGTAAGGGGGCAAGCATACCACTTCAAGTTGATTGTGGTTGGAGAACCAGGCCTGGACCAGAGCAGCCCGATGGAAACTGACATGATCCCATATCACCACAAACCTGGGCTGATCTGGTCTATTCTGTACAACTATATCATGGAGATCTAGAAATGTGAGTATATGTTGGCTATTGTATGGACCTAGTTTTGCATGATGATGCAGAAGCCGTCGAAGGCTTATGGCGGCACACAATGTGATATTTCCCCCGCGCTGCCCTGGAACGTGCACAATTGCCCTTTGGCCAATTACATTACGACCCCGTCGTCTTGTTTTGCTCAGGTCGAATCCAGCTTCATCAATGAAAATGAATTCATGAGGCTGTGCAACTCCATCCATGGCCAAGATTCTCTGTAAAAAAAAAAAAAAAAAAAAAAAAGAGAGAGAACATATTACTGCACTACAGTGCTACACATACAGAACCCTCACCCCATCACACGGGTACCTGTGTAGCTCTCAGAATGTATTCATGTGGTACTGATATGGTACATATTCAGCTCGAAGTCCTTTGACCCTGTCACTGTTCCTCTCAAATGGTACTCTGTAGAGTTGCTTCATGGTGATGCTGTGTTTTCCCAAGATGCGTCTGATGGTGGTGATGCTCACATGGTTTATGTTGTTGAACACTTGCCTGTCTGCAAGTATTTGCTTTCGTAGCTGGTGGAGACGGATAGCATTGTCTGCCCTCACTAGGTCCACAACGACAAGTTCCTGCCGTTGTGTGAACAGGCGTTGGCGTCCTCCCCCAGAAGGTCTTCGAGTCATTCTAGAGAAATACAACCACATATTGTCATTGGTTTGCTTATTTTTCTTACAGTACTTTACTGTATGTACTGTGTCATCCACTGTACAACACTGTACTTCAATATAAGTAATCATGGTATGTTTCACAGAAACTACCACTTTGGCTGCAAAAGGAGCCTTAGCACCCTGCAATACCCTGTACACTTGATATGGTAACTGTAGAACAGTACTATAAAAACCATCTGAGTAGAGTAGAAGGCAGTGAGATGAAGACAGACCTGTTTTCTAGTTGGAATTTTCTTATTACAGATGCCACTGTGAAACGGCTTAGATGTGGGTGGACTCTCTGCCCAGCTTCCCTCATAGTCAGGCCGTGGTTGATGACATGGTCCACCAAAGTTGCTCTTATATCATCAGAAATATGGGTCCGTGCATGGCCTCTTTGACCTCCTCCTCCTCTTCCTCTTGCTCTCCCTCCATCCATGCTTGCAAAGTTCTTGAAATGGCTAAACTGAGGGCTTTTTGTGGTTGGCTAATTGGTGTTCAGTTTTGCAAGTAAGTGCCTTCAGGTGTATATTTGAGTGGTTGCAATTACCCGATGTGTTTTGTATTTTGGATACATGTGTTTTCCAAATGGCACCCTGAAATTTCATTTTTGAACGAAGTGTCTTATGTATGAAATAGAGTGTAGCATGCAGGACCATGTGTGTTGCATAAAGGAGTAAGTGTGTTGCATAATTGCAACCAGAGTGCAAAGCAGCACTTTTGTTTAAGGTAGGGGTACATGTGTTTGAGGTATGGTAACAAAAGCTTCAAGTTGTGTTACTTTAGTATAAGCATGGGTTTATAGTGTT